TACAACATTTCCCCACTTATTTACCTGCCATAAATCCGTAAATCAGAAATCAGTGATTCTAACAATTTAAAATACCAAGCATAAGATAATACCAACTACAACATGACAGAAAAAGAGGAGTGAAAGAAAAGGAACAAATAAATACCAGCGTAATGCGTCCAAGGGCGCTTTTGTTTCCTTGACCGACACCAACCATTTCACAATCCATGGCTACTTCATCTGTCAAGCTGTCAAATGGTGCATACCTCGTAAGTTCAGTGCTATCACCACTTAAAGTCAGAGAAACGAAAGGAGCCTCTAGATTTTGCACATAGGAAACCAATATCAAATTCGTGATGTAGTTACTTGCAGTTTCATTCTAGTAAACAAGTCTATTTTCCGATGAAAGGATAGAGAGAAACAAAAGATTAAATGTTCCCTAGCATTATCCTAAAATTAAAACCCTTGCGCGGTTCAAAATTTCACAAATAGGATTCCATTCTATGTCAATGAGATTTTGCCATTTAAGATGATAACGAAACTAAAAGGTATAGCTTTCGAGATCTTTTTAAAAGTCTAATGGAGATGAAAAAAAAAAAGGTCGCACCCAGCTCCTGGTTTACGCAGGGTCTGGGAGAGGTGAATGTCGGCTAGCCTTACCCCCATTTTATGGAGAGGCTGCTCCCAAGTCTCGAACCCGAGACCTACCGCTCATGGGCGAAGGCACTTGCCATCACACCAAGTGCGATTAAACAGGGTGATTGCAAAAACAATCCGAAACAATTCCCCTATTTTCCTAAACAAAAAGAAGAAAATTGCACCTCCCAAGTCCCAACCAACCCTAAAACATTAGTTGTCCGCGGAATTCACATTTAAACAAAACCCAAATAAACACCTAAAAAACAGTTGAAAGTTCTGTTCTTTTATGTTTTCCTGCATTTTCTCAGCAACCAAACACACCGTCAAAGCATAAACACGTTCAAATAATCACCTGGAATCATCATTAACTGGATCGAGAGGATTGATACGAGATGGAGAATCGTCATTCAACTCCACATCCAGCCTCTCTTTCCGCTTCCCTGATAATCAAATTCTCAAAAATTAAAAATCTTTGCTTTTATGCTGTTTTCAGAAAACCCAAGAAAAAGGGAAGTTCTTTTTTTTTATGTTAGGTACCTAAGATTGTTGTTGTTGTTGAGCCATGACTCTTGAGCTTCTGTTGGAGCTGAGCCCAGTTGGGGTTCAGTTGAAGCTGCTGCTGCTGTTTAGGGTTCTTTTTCATCTTCTTTCTTCTGCTGCTGCTGCTGCCGCCGCCGGGAAACACAAGTATGCGATGAGAGAAAAAAATAACGACATCGCATTTTTAGTCGTTTTCTTATATATCCGATTTATAATTTTTTAAGAGTAAAATTTAGAATACGTCGTTGAACTCGAACCCGAGTTTATAATTCATCTCTGAATTAAAATTCCATTAATTTACATCCCTAAATTTAACAAAATGTGTGCTATTGGTTCTAGTTGTTAACGTATGTGGAAACAATTTTGTTCATGTGGTGTGGCATATATATAGGTCTCAGCACCTTATTTATTATTGTTGAATGAGTTTAAATTTTAAAATCTGTATAATGAATATAGATAAATAGTGCACAATTTAGTAAGTCATTACACCTACGGTCCAAGTACCTGGGAGATAATCAATAGATTCCTTTTCGGGAGCAATTCATCATTCCTGAACACACAACATACAACTCTTCGTTGTAGTGTACTCTCCTCTTGTGCTTGTTCCTCTATTCTTCCTTACCATGGCAAGTCTTTGTGAAATACCTCTGATGAGAAGAAAAAAGAAGACGTTAAGAGACCCTCCTAGCCCAACCCTAGACATTAAGGGTGCGTTTGTTGCACCGGACTATCTCGAACTGGATTAGCTTCAGGGACTAAGCTGGACTGGCTTAGACTAGACTAAGCTGGACTGATTTAGTGAAGCGTTTGGTGCAGTGTCGGACTAAAAAGAAGGATAATAACAAACTACAATATTTTATATTTTTTTAATTCATATCTAATAATATTATATTAATTAATTCTATCTTTTTTCTTCTAATAATACTCTCCCTCTCTCTGGAAACTCCATCATTTTCTTTTTCCTCGTTCTCTCCGTCCCACACTCTCCGTCCCTTTCCTCTTTTTTTTTTTCTGATTAATTGCCAAAACTGATTAATTGCTAAAAAAATTATGCAAAATGAAGAATCGAGCTTCGTTTTTCTGGTTTTTGTTCATGGGATCGTCGGGCTTGTCCATCTGAGGAGGAGAAAAACGAAGAGGAATGTGGAGGACAAATCGAAGAGGAAGACCCGGTGGACAAATCGAAAAGGAAGACCCGGTGGACAAACGAGAAAAACGAAGCTCGATTCTTCATTTTGCGGAATTCGGAGGTTGTGGACTCCGAATCTGGGGTTGGATTCTGTCTTCTTTGTTGCTGTTTTTTTGTTTGGATTCTGTCTTCTTTGTTAAATTTGTCTCTGTTTGTGGGCTGTCGAAGGTTGTGGACTCCGAATCTGGGGTTGGATGTTTTGAATTTTTTAATGTGCGAGGCAGCGAGGAAGAAGGAAATGAGAGCGGCGATTTACGAGGACGCGGCGGTTGTCCTGGGATGGTCCGGTGAGGTTGTCGAGCAGGGTGAGCAGTCGAGCAAAGCGCTGAGGAGTCGAGCAGAGCAACGATCTTAGCAATTCGATGGTATTTGGGGGGTCTCGCTAAGACTACCTAGCGAGCCCCGTAGTCCACACGAGTCCCCTTTAGTCCCACTTAACTTAGTCCCAACACCTATCAAACATGGGACTGTAGTCCAGTCCAGTCCCTCCTAAGGAGGTGAAACAAACGCCCCCTAAGATTCTTTTTCAAACCTGCTCTCATTTCGAGTCAAGAGATAGATAAATAGACACATAAATTAACGGAATTTTAGTTTAGTACAAATTCTAAACTTGGGTGCAAGTTCAAAGACAAATTCTAAATTTTACAAATTTTTTAGTTAAAATATTCTACACAAATCCACATTCAGGGGGGAGAGGAAGGAAAGATTGAACTTTGAAAGTAGTGAGCTGAAGAAAATGGCTCTAACTATCAGGCAATTCACCACTTGGATTTATAATTTTAATTCACTATGAATTTCTACCCAAACTTTTATTTTAGGACATATTACTTACTTGGTATGTGGATGATAATGAGTAAGTATGAGATGAAACGAGAAATTAGTAGAATTGGATAACCAACTCCCTATGTTAATGAAATACCTTTATTTTTCAGGTATGTCATATTCTACACATATGGAACCCCACCAACTCTTTCATTTTTCGTTGTTAGTAAACACATTAATAAGAATGATACAAACTCCTTCCCACTTTATTCTTTGTAAGTAAACATGCCCTTAGCTTAGCATCCCCAATTTCATTCGTTCATGTCTTCCCTCCAACTATGCCCTTGCTGTTGGTGAAAGGTGAAAGGTCGTATTTACCCTTGAATGTGATAGAACTATGTTCACGTGACAAGCACGCATCTAGTTTGAACAAAATATAATATTTAGTTATGAGTATGAATATGCTGGAAATTCAGAATTTGAAATCTCATTTGTTAAAAAAAATAAAAAAGTAAAAAAAATAAAAAAAAGAAGGAAACTTTTAAGGGAATATGTGGTTCAAAAACAAGGAAACTTTTAAGGGAATATGTGGTTCAAAAACAATGGGACATAAGAAAAGTAAAGATTCCATATCCCAGATATATTCCCTCAATTTATAATTATTCTTGACAATGACATTTACTTTGACTTGCACCACCCAACTTGCCATAAACGTTGAGTAATATGCATTTGGGGAACAATAGCTCATTTTCTGCGAATAGCAACAAAGAAAAGAAGGAGAATAACTTTATTAATTTCTTGACAAAATTAAAAGAAATTGAATTGTTGCGGTCAAGACAAATATTAGAAGGATCTATTGGCACCTTTGGAAGCATATGCACACTGCATGGGCAAAGATTGGGAGTTTTACATAGACCAAAATGATTGATGGTAGATAATTTCAAGAATTATTTTTATCGATATTGCGTTTTAGAGATCATAATGAAGAGTTATGTCATTTCAATGATCATTTTGGACACAAACCTATGAAATAAAGTCATCTTTCTCCAGTGACGAGATTTGGATGTGCCAGAAAAACAAATGGGTGAAAGTTAAAGAGTGGAGAGAGAGGTTATGTTTCTATCTATGTGTCTTAGGTTCAAAACTCCCTCTCCTAAATTATGTAAAAGTTTCAAACTTTTATCCTAGTAAATTAAATAAAAAGAAAGGGAGAGGTTGGCTGGTGGTGTTTGCTGCTGAGGGTTGTTTGTCAAGGTTGAGACGGTGGGAAAGACTGAAGGGTTGAATTATTTATTTTTTAGTTCAAGTGTTTTAATTCTCTCTCAAAATTAATAAAAAAAAATTTAAGCGAATTGACATGCTACGCCAAATGACACGTCAAGGAATTTAGAATTGTTGTCTAAAAATGTGGTCTTTCTAGTAATACCCTAAATATGAATAAGGATAAACCCAATGGCATTATAGCAAGAGAGAATATGGTGTTGGTGTTGTGGCAACCTACATAACATCATTTTCACCCTAGTAAAATCCACAATATAGTATTTAACTAGCTTTCGATCCAAATTAAGGACAAGCACACAAATCACAAAAACTACATTCTAATGTCTAGACAACGGTCGTCGCTATAGTATAAGAGATTGAGCAGAAAAAAAATTTCATCAATAGAACGAAAGAGCGACCACAACTATAAAAGCTCTAATTAACAGATCAAATAACGAACATAAACAAAAAATGTAAGCAATTATATAAAGACAAAAAATCGAAATGAATTGCCACCGACCTCGAGACCAATAAGAAAGGATGGCAAGTTAAATTATCAAATTATGAATGTATGTAATTAATTATGCAGTCCATTTTAATGGGTAAAATTAGTGACACACAGACAAGCACCCACAAAGGCAGAGAGACAGAAGGTTTCAAGTGCAAAAGATGCAAAACCCAAAAAGCAGCTGCCTCCTGCAGCAGGTATAAATACTCGGACAAACCCTTTCTCTAATCCCTAGCTTTCTTCTTCTCTCTGTCTCTGCAAGTTTAATCGAGAAAATGGGAAGAGGAAAGTTCAAGGGCAAGCCCACCGGCCGCCGCCAGTTCTCCACTCACGAAGAGATGGGTATTAATCATCTCCCTCTTTCTCTATCTGTTTCTCCATGTGGTTCAAACAATTTACCGTCGTGATTTTATATGTATATCTATATGTGTATGGGCATGTGTATGCACAGGGTCTCAGTTGTTTGCGCTAATTTTTAGATCTAGATTGATTTGTGAACATTTTAGTTATTTTTAGCGTGGAATTTCGGCTAGGCAATTCTTATTGTAAATTTGAAAAGCTCGTAATTTTTTCGTGAAAGTTTGTTTCTTTTTTTGAAGAATATTTTGGTCATTCCATAGTTCAGCTTAGGAGGAGTAGTTTATTGGATAATAAGAAAACGAAAACAAAAACAAAAACTTGTTCTAAGTGGTAAGCTTATTGGTAGTGGGTTGGCTTGAAGACTATTTTGTCGATTTCGGCATGGGGGTTCTTTTTGTTTTCAGTCGGCTTAATGTTTGGAATCTGGACCAGTAAATTGGATAACTGTCGTAAGAAATAGAACATGATAACTTGTTCAAAGTGGTTGCTTCTAGCTTATTGGTAATGATTTGCCTTGGAATTTGCAATATAAGCTAGAGTATCACTCGGGTTCGCTTGAAACTTGGGATTGTTAATTGGATAAGTGAATCTATGGGTAATTAATTCCTAGTTAGGGTTGGTGCATGAATGATGAATCCCTCTTGAGGTTATCCTGTGAAAACATTCTCAGTCAAATTTCACTTCCCCACTACTTTCGCTTGAAAAATCCATGAGTTTGTACGGACATTTTTGAAATTTTTACACCAAATTAAAGAATATATGAAGTTTAACTGTTGATTGAGTTATAGTATATGTCAGACTAGGAAAGAATGTTTCCCTCCACTATATTAATTCTACCCATGTTTCTCTTGGATGGCTTTATCGGTTTATATGAGAAAAAAAATTTAGATTTTTTATTATATTATATTTTATTTTTTATCAACAATCAAGGTTTGTTGTTTATGATATTTTAGTTGTATTACGAGTTTACCGGTTGTACTCGTGAAGACTGTATGAAGTTAACGATTTGTGAGTTTGTATATTTGGGTGATGTTAACAATATTGGTTTCACTTAAGTCTCAGACATTTCTTAATGTCAAATTATATTTATAATTGGTAAAGTTGTTTCAAATGCTTTTGAACTTTCATCTGCTATGTTTGACTCAGCTTGCCTTTGTGTCTATACTTCACATGATTGCAGTTGCTGGTTCCTCTGCCCGTCCGCGTGGTTTTAAAAGGGTAATAATCTGTCCCTTGTCCCTTTGTATTACACTTTTCCCATATGATTTAATTGAAGACATCGCACTTTTCAAGCTGCTGTCATGATTCTCAAATTTAGAGATGAGGGTTTCAATAGGCTTTTATAGTATTTTGTTTGAACATGACGTACACAGAACAGATGCATGTAAAGTGTGTAGGTGCTCATTATGCAGAGTTTGCATTGATGGGACTCCATGGAATTGGAATGTTAAACTAATGCACTGAAGACATGTATATTGACTTAATCATGTTTCATATCTGTCATTGTATCAAAAGATGTTATTTTAGCAGAAGTCACAGAACCAAGTTGTTCTGTAACCCAAACTTTCTGGCTGATAAGAATCTTATGAATCATGGCTGAACCAACCAAAGGCAATAGGACTGCATCTGTTGTGGATGCCTCTAAGCATTACATGTTTCAAAGGATTACCATGTGAAACAAAGTTTTCTTTGCCCTCTAGGGCATGTCTCCCTTTGGAAGTTATGGACTGCTGCATTCTTTTTAAGGACTGCTGTCAGCCCATCGACCGAAACCCATAAGAGATATGTCCCTAATATGAATCTCATATAAATAAGGCCGAATTCTGATTTTGGTTCCTGTAAAACTCACATCTGGCCATAACGAGTTTGTCGAAGAAATTGACAAAATTATTTCATTGTCCTGAAGTTGCAACAATTAGTAAGCTACATGCTTCAATTTGAAAATTTTACCAAAATCATATTCTTCTTTATAAATAAAAAAGAATTCTTAATATAAATTGCTCATGGAGTAGCATATTATAGTTTTCCTCCTTTTGGGGTCGAGCTCTAAACAGTCAATAAGTTCTCTTGATTCGCTTCTATTGTAGGCTGGCATTGGGAGTAGGACCTTCAGTCTTTGATCCCGTGAAACACACACATTAAACTTAAAGTAAGAATGACATGGTGGGCCATGAATGTAGGAAACTATTAAGTACTTAGTTTCCAAATATGAGATTACTTTCCAACAATTCATGTAAGAGTACTTTGAAAGAAGCAAATCAGTATACTATGGTCAGATATTAGCTAAAATAACATGGGTATAGATAGTTTCATGTAGTAATTTTTCTTGATTACCATTTTAAGAAAGAGAAGTTTTTTGTGTCATTGATATCATTGTTTGCAACGTATGATTGAGCTATATAGTGGCTTTGTTGATTATATCTACCTTGCCCCATCTAGTAGTGTTTCTCCCTCTTTCTCTCGCATATGGGTGACTTTAAGTTTTGTGCTATTGCTGGGTATTAAGGGTGCGTTTGTTGCATCGGACTATCTCGGACTGGACTAACTTCAAGGACTAAGCTGAACTGGCTTAGAATAGACTAAACTGGACTGGCTTAAAATAAAAAATATAAATAACCCATGCTATATCAACCAACATCAAAATTTCAACCGAATTTGACCTTATGTCATCATGATATATTTATCCAACACTCTTTATGGATGCCCATTTTGAGCTTTTCCAGCAATAGGAATATTCCAAGTAATTCCTTAACAAGTTTCCAAATTCCAAATTCAAACAACATATTACACTTATATCTCAATTTCAAATTCTGGAAAATATAAAAATACACAAAACAATTATGCAAGCAACATCAATTGACCATACTTTCCTCGAAGCCTAAAAAAATTGACTCCACAAAAAATTATTCAAAACCCAGTCACAATCACAATCACGATAATTTAACTCAAAATTCAGCCTCATTCACACTTAGCAAGCCTCAACCAAACTTAGCCACAGTTCTCTCGGACATTTCATCAAACACCTCCTGGGCACTTTCCAAATCACCCTTTCCCATTGATCAATTGAATTCACAATCAGCAATGACTATATTTTCATTCCTTTGGTAATGAATTTCTTTCTCATTGGTCATGAATTCACAATCATACCACATCAAAATCAAATTCAAGTGGAGAAATTGAAAACTGTAGGCTAAAAAAGGAGAAGCTCTCACCATTTTTCGGTAACGGTGGCGATCTTGGCGAGCTTGTCCTGGTTTAGAGACGACAGGGAAGGATGGTGAGGATTTAACAGCGGTGGATTCGGAAAGGCTGAGATTGCTCCGTGAATGCTCAAGAGTCGTGGGCTGAGATTGCGGTGGAGGATTGTGCAACTTGTGTGCGGTACTCGAAAGCCACAACCATGGCGATTTTGCTGAGAGAGAGAGAGAGTGTGTGTGTGAATTGAACGAAGAAGAAAGGAAGGGAGTCAGTGGATTGTTTTTCAATTTTTGTTTGAGGTCTGAGATTAGGCTTTTGGGTGGGATAGTGAAGGCCCAAGGGAGTGGGCGAAGGTGCGAAGGAGAAGGGAGACGACGAGGGATCAGCGGTGGGGGAGAGAACGAGATTAGCAGTCCGCTCGAAATCGAGGGGCCTTGCTAAGAACGTTTAGCGAAGCAGGCTAGTCCAATGACCCCTAAGAAGGTCAAACAAACAAGCCCTAAAGATATATTTCTTTGATATTCTCAGGAAGAAGCCGAAGAGGAGGAAGAAGTAGAGTCTGAAGAGGAATCAGAAGAAGAACAGGAAGAATCCGAAGTCAGTACACTCATTATTTCTATTACATTCTTCTTTATATCGAACTATTCCATTGTTGATTTGGAAGCATCTGTGTTTCTTATTAGTTCCTACTTGTACCTTACTGCAATTTTGGCTGTGATAACAGAAACGGAAAGGCACGCAGGGAATTATTGAAATTGAGAATCCCAATCTAGTAAAACCAAAGAATGTGAAGGCTAAAAATGTCGATGTAAGTTGGTGAAGAGAATTTTTACATATTTGCAGTATGAACTCATTATAGTAATTATTTTCTGTTATCCTTGTTGCAGATTGAGAAAACAACTGAACTCTCAAGGCGTGAAAGGTATGCAATGTTCCTCACCTCCTGTACATTCAATATGGAACAAGTTCCGTGCCAAGTATCTAAGCAGTGCCTAAATTGTGAAACAAAATCTTGCTTCCTCATTGATGATTCTTCTATCCCATTTTTCTTCAGTTTTCTTTTCACATATTTATTACTCTTTAATATCAAATATATATGGTTATTAATTCATCTTTCATACGACTGTCAGTTGAGCATGAGGCTTTAATAGTAGCATCTGGTTCTATCTCTAAGCACCAGAAGTATCCTACATTATCTAGGCTGACCTGGTTTTTTTTTCTCCAGTTTCTAGCTTTAGTGTTCATGTCACACAGGCAAAAGGGACCACCAGAATTTGTTCAGTGTATGAAGCTTTTGATCAAGCCCTTAAAACATTTAACTCATCACTTTGTTTTAAGTGTTCTGAACCATGGGGGAAGTGGAATGTTATACATAATTCGTCAAAAATGAATTTTAGAGGGGTAAATTATAATTTGTTTTGTAGATTATATTCACCAGTCACACTCTTGGATAAAATAATAGTTTTGTCAAAAGTTATGTTTTGTTGAAAGGATTTAGGAAAATGGTGGATAATGTGAATTTATTTTTCATTTTAAGAATTGAAATATGTTTGTCATGTTATGGCTCATGCTTTGGCATTCTGCTTGTCATTTCGTGTGCTTTGGTAATTATTGGTACTGGAGGTTATTCTCATAGTTTTATGCTTCCCAATAGTACTTTTGATGGTTGATCCTCCTTGAGATCATGAAATTATTAGCTGCAGTTTTTGTATTTCCATACAACTGATTTGCGAAAGCTCATGATCAATATTTTCAATTTGGTTGTCCTTGGAGTCAAATATTTGAGTGATCCAAGGTTAAATATTGCGTCAACTTAATGTCCATCCGTTGCAGAGAGGAGATAGAGAAGCAAAAGGCTCATGAGCGGTACATGAGGTTGCAGGAACAGGGAAAAACAGAACAAGCAAAAAAGGATTTAGGTAATGTGGGAAATTGACAAAATTCTAGCTTCATTTTGGCAGTTGAGTTGAATTATATTAGGCATGCAATGATATGCCATCTGAATTTTCTAAATTAGCATACACAAAACAGGGGTTAAGATATTTTGCTAGAAAAGTCGTATTTTATCAAGTATTTATATTTCCTTGCTGATATGTCGGTCCACTTATTGGTGAATAGATTGTTCAACTGAGGTGGTGAGGTCTTGTGTTTACCAGTTTTAGTGAGTATTAGAGATTATATGGGAGACCACGGTGTGTTGCTAGCCCTCTGAAACTTCTGTTTCTGGAACTTTGTAAGGGTTTTGGAATTTTTGTTTATGTTTTCGCTGACTTACAGTCTTACGGTGTAGTTTTGTGGTGTTGAGTATCGATCTGATCGTGTAACCCCGCTGGGTTCTAAATGCTTTTGGTTATTATGAAGATGAATGTCCTCAAATTGCTCCATTTTCCATATTTGCTATCCATTATGGTTTTCTGGCATCAAGATTCAGGATATAGGGATAATTTCTCAATACGTTTGTTACCTTTGTTTTGTGCATGTGTCACTTGACAATATGGCCTGACCCTGTATATCTATTTGGGCCAGTAGTTTATTTTCCTGTACATCGTCTCTGTTGCCATTCTTTCATTCTTTAATTTAAATTGTACCAGAACGCTTAGCCATGATTCGCCAACAAAGGGCTGAGGCTGCTAAGAAGCGAGAGGAGGAAAAGGCTGGTGTGTACCCCTGATTCAACATTATTCTTTTTGTTCCCGTTTGTGATACTCCTCTGCCTTTCATTGTCTAATTGTTCGAAATCTCAAGAATCCTTTTTCTTTTTCTCCTTACCGAAAATGGTCTATGATTTTTTCAGCTAAAGAGCAGAAAAAAGGCGAGGGACGCAAGTGAAATAAAGTTATGGAGATGCCAAGTAATTGAATTGGGCTGCTTTCTTTTTAATGTTTGACCTTTTTTATCTGTATTATCTGTATCCCAAGCTAACTCAAATTACCAAAGTTTCGCTTTCTTATTTCACACTACTAGTGTATTTGTTCAGGGTATGGAATTTGTTCGTATTTATTGGGAACATGGTTTGGGGAAAAGAAAACATTTTTGGTCATCTAAACTTTTAACATCGAAATAATCGCTATACAGGTTTTGGTTGAGGTTGAGTTGAGCACACAAGGAGTATCCCTTGTGATTATTTCTTGTTCAACTCACTCTTCACTGTATTTTTTGCCTTGCAGAAATTGTGTTGGTGAGTTGTTCAAAGCAAACTTGCTGTTTCAGGTACCTAATGCTCCTTTCAGTTTACAAGTGAGTATTTTGATAGCCCAGTTTTCTTCAATAATCCCGACTACGGGAAAGGAACGGTCATGGTTGAATTGAGAAAAATACTATTTTTGTTTACTTGCCAATCTAATGGATATAAGTCAGGATTACCCAGTAGTGCAGTCCGGACATCTCTCTCTGGACCCTCCAACCTTTTAACCTAAGTTTCAATCAATGCCATGGTGGTTCTTTTTCTAAACAAATGTGAGAACAAAGAATCTATGAGGTTTAGGATAAGTGAGCTTGTAAATGATTGAAATGGAAAGCATAGAAGTCGTGGTCCTTGTGTTTTCAACAGGCATCATATATTTCGATCTTCGATTTTCGGTTATGGAGGGTGAAATTATGGAGGGTGAAAGAATCTGGTCCTAAACCACTGTTTAAGCAAATTTCAGGCTGGAGAAGGAAGAAGGAAGATACCTTAATCTCTGATTTGGTATATTTTGGCTTCAGTTGGGCGGCTGCATGATCCACAAACCTTTCAAAACCATTATATTTATGAATGAATGAATGAATGAATGTCTCTCAAATTTTAGAATGTGTTTGTGCTTTTGCTCTTGCATAGAAATTAGAAAGTTGGAAATTGAAAGCAAATGATTTTGTTTTTTGTTTCTTTGATTGACGGGGACGATTTCAAACTTAGAACCTCTTCTAGCATTAAGAAGATATATAGTTGTCTCCAACTGATTAAGAGCATTGACTCGTGCACTTGAGACCTCATATTTGACTCTCCCTCGTCAATATTGCATCTATAAAAACAAACAAGAAACCTATTATATTTTGTTTTTCGTCAGTATAATTAGCCTCAATTGTGTTTAGTAAGGTGTTAGTGAAGATTTTGGTGGAACGTTATACTTTGTTAGGGTCCAACATGGATTGAACAATTATGTTTAATTTAATAATATATATATATATATATATATATAGGTATGTAGTATGTATAACTTATTGCAGTTAAAAAAAAAGTTTTTTAGCTAAAATGGTAATTGAAATTGACATGACTCCTTACTTCAATCTTTGACAATGAAAATCAATAGAATTGGTCCTGATTTTGTTTATTGTGAATCTTGGTTCTTAAAAAAATCTGTCAATATTCTCGTTAAGTAGATGAGTTGGTTTGACACAAATAATCTTAAAAAGGTGATCATGAGGTCTTTCATATGACAATTTAACGATGATATTTGACAAATTTTTTACAGAATGACTAAAATAATTTACGGTTAACAAACTCAGAGACTATGAGCTTGTTTGGATGTGTTTTTAAAATGATTGAAAGCGCTTTTAGAAAAAATCTTTTTGGGTTTCAAAAACACTTAAAGTGTTTTTTCAGGATTTACTTACATTTTTACTAAGGATAGGTTTTTAAAACATTTTCATCAAAAGCGCTTTCAGTCATTGTAAAAGCTAGGGGTGGGCATTTAGAACCGAAAATCAAAAACCGAAACCGAAACACGAACCAAATTGAACTGCACCGAACAGTTTGGTTTTACGATTTTGAAACGGTTTTGGTTTTGAAACCGAACCGCAACATAGAAAATGGTTTGGTTTCGGTTTTGGCTTTTAAAAACCGCATCGAAACCAAATCAAACCGCAAATATTAATAAACATTTAATTAAATGTCCATATTATATTTCATGTTTTAATTGGTTGTTTGTTAGAATTCATACATTTAGTATGGACTCAACCACACTAGAATATCATTATTCATCACTTTCTTTCGTTCATTAACTTGAAGGACCTTTGTTATTTTATACCATCACACACACACACACACACATATGTACAAGAGTGGACTAACCTTGTTATCAAGAGTCAAACAATGATCTAATGAAGTCCACTCATTTGAAGCATGATATCATATATTCTAGTATGAAAGTTTCGCTCACGTTTAATGAATTCAAAGTTATTTAACTTGTTTTATGATATACCTTGTATGAGACACCCTTTTGTTGCACAAACATATTTTAACATCACAACTGCATGCAACATGCTAATTGTTTACATAATAAATGTCTTTTTCCTATTGCTACTGGGAAATGCTTATTAATATGTTAAATTGCAAATTGTACATTTTTTATTAAAAACCAAACTGAAACCATTTGAAACCGCACCGAACCGAACCAAACGATTTGGTTTCATTTCTGTTTTGGCTTCAAAACCGCATCGAACCGAACCGTAAAAAATTTCGATTTCGGTTTTGGTTTCACTCAAAACTGCACCAAACCAAACCGTGCCCACCCCTAGTAAAAGCACATCCAAACAAGCTCTATGTCTATCAATTTTCATTGTCAATGACCAAAATAATGAGTTGTACCAATCGATTGGACCATTTTGGATTAAAAAAAATCTTCAAAAATCGTATGAACAGTGTTATGGGTTTGGATGCAACTCTTAAACCCAAATTTCATGACATGATTATAATAATTAAATTTTGGAGTAGTTAGGCTGCCTAAGAAAGGAAGAGAAAAGAAAAGACAGGAATTCTAGTGTTCTTTCTGTGTATGGTTAAACTTAAAGTAGAGGTAATCAGACTCTTGATTAATCATGATTTTTTTGTTCTGTTTTGGTAAACTTGATTAATCATGATTTTTAATTCATTATTTGTCTCTTTCACCACTTAAAGCTAATTCCTAAAGATGGTTTGGATTAAAAAGAATCTATTTAAATTTAGAGGGTTTAGGGCAGGTTTGGTATCCTATTAAAATAAATTTATTATTTCTTAAAATATTTTTTAAGAACATCACTTAAGAATTTTTTTTTTTTTTGAACAAACGATATTATCTACCCTCGAGGAGGGACGGACACAATGAGCTAGTAATAATGTGATTCAAATTCGTCTTTTAAGACTCAAAAACTTATTTAGTATGAGATTCAAAATTGTTTTTAAAATTTAACAATAAAAAAAAATTCATCTCACAATGGAATCGGTAACATCAATTGGACATAGAAATCCAAAGAGAGATGGGAAAAAGTGGAGAGAGAGAGAGAATATCGTAGGAAAGACAAAGAGAGCATCGAATGAGAGGAGGATAAAGAGAAAAAAAAAGGAGAAAGAAATAGGAGAGAAGTGTTGGAGGAGAGAGAAAGAAATATAAAAAAACAGAGTACGCATCAAATATTTGGAGAGAAAAAAGTATTGGGTATGAGTTTAAAAACTCTAACAATTCATTTTTGATATTTGACTCTAGGTTTTTTTTTTTTTACATAATCCTACCAAACAAATATTCAAAGCTTAAAACTTGAAAGTTATTTTTGAGTTTAAAAATACTTGAATATCAAACAGATCTTTAGAAATTAATCATATATCTTAGTAGAGTATGATTGGTGGGGTAATTGTGGTGGTTTCATCAAATTATGCAAAGAGTCTAATCATATCTTTATAAATGGGGTTGTTGATTTAATTTAAAGATGACATGAATAACAGGTTTAGTAGGTTTTGGAATCATTCTCATTCTTGAGTTTCTCGTGTTTACTAAAATATAGATGTTTAGAATCATTTCAGAGTATTGTCGTACAATATGCATTTTTCTCATCTCCATACCACGTAAATAAACATGTCTTCGTCTTCTAACGTTTTCTGTGTTTGCTAATGCACATGGAGTTAGAGAAAGTGTGAGGTTTCCTTTAAATTTCATAATCAAATATTTGAAAACTGTGATTAAGGTCAATTGAGGGGACTGCTTGATCTAATTTTCTTTCCTTACTTCCCGCATTCCAAAATTCTCCAATCCATTATTTTTTCCATTCATGTTAAGTAAACATGTCATAATCATTTAGTACTACGCTCTGGTATTATTCATTTTCATTTGTAATTGAAAGGTCTTAGGTTCGAATCTCATGGATGGCGAATTCGATACCAAATTAGGTTGTCTATTGTGTAGTTTAGCCGACTCTCTCATTCCATTAGTGTAAAATATACCGTTGTACTAAAAAAAATAGTAGATGTGTCATAAAATTCATAGTTTAATACTCCAACATCAGGAAAATAATTGTACATACTTTTCTTCTGCAGACCCTTTAATATTTTTGTTGCTTTGTTCTTTTTTCGTTTAGTTCCTCCAAAAGCTACAGAAAAAAAAAGTAACGCATGAAAGAATTTGAGTGCGAAAATTATTTCCCTTAATTATAACCAAAGAACAAGATATAAAGAAGTTTAAGCTTAATGAGCCCACATGACAAAAGAGAATGGACCACATGACAATAGCAGCAATTTATTTCCGTATGAAAAATTGTGAGGAATATTCTTCGTTTTGAACCTTCAATTTCTTTCTTATCTTGTAATCTTTGTTGAAATTTTTGGATGATGTGACATTCTGTATACATTTACAGTAATATTTCGTGTCAATGAAATAAAGATATGTATACATTTTTGTTCACGTATTATTATTTCATTAGCATACGATGTCACATGACGATGTATTTGTATCCTCTAATTTATTCTCATATCTCTCTCTGATATTTTTGCATACCACATTAGAAAAAAGTTGTGATAAGGGGAGTCAAAAACCTTAACGATTTATGATTTCAAAGCACGTTTCTGAGCTCTGACCAAAATTGAAAGTAAAATAGGATCACACACTTCTGACCTAAAAACCAAAACGGCGGCTTGGTGAAGAGGATGACTTATAGAGAATAAGAAGCCCAACAAAAACGTTTTTGTTTTTAAGTTTCCGTCTCTTTTTGTGGATGATTAGGTCAACAATTCTACATATTTTGTATATAGTTAATGAGTTGGAAGTGGGTTTTATTGGTTACCAAAGTATTCATGATTAAATTTTTTTTTAGAAGGGACCAATTGGTTTGCCACGACAGTTTACTTTTTCGGAAGCTGAGAAGATTCATAGAGGCATTTCATCTTCCTCTTGGCCACCATCGTGCGATTCATCATTGGCAGGAATCGAACCTAGGACATACCGTAAGAATAAGGACTTGAAATTCGTCTTCAACTACTGAGTCACCCATGATTTAATGTTTTAACATTGTTTTTGTTAAAACAAAATTAATTAAAGAAAAAGTAATTAGTGATTATTTTAGGCCATGTGGGATTGATTGAAGTGTGAATCAAATGATTAGTTTAGAAGTGCTATTAAAATGTGTGAAAACGTTTTTTTTTATTTAGATAAAATGTTTTTGAGTTTCAAAAGCACTTAAAGTAATTTCTGGAAAAAAACATCATTTACGTGTTTCTTGTAGGAAGCACTTAAATTTTTTTTTTTCAGAATTCACTTTCATTTTAACTAAAGATTAATCTAAAAACATTTTCATAAAAGACACGTTCAGCTATTTTAAAAGTAATTTCAAACAGGCCCTAAATATTCCTAATGCCACTCTCAAAAGGTGATCCGTCTTCTTAATTCGATGTCATATGAGAATGAGGATTCTAAGATCCTCAAATCGTGTTTGTTCATTGTACATTGTGTGATCAGAAATTATTTTAAATGCTTTTATTTAAAATTAAACATGAATAATACTTGACGAAAACTAACTATATAATATACGATAAACAGACACAATTTGAGAATTTTCAAAATCCTCGTAAAGAGGATCCGAAGAGAATTCTCATTCGTCATTTGAAGGATTACATCATTTTGTTGAATTGATGTCCATTGTCTTTTGTTGACATGTGGATATGCGACCATAGTTCAATACCATGGGTGGTGGTGGTGGGAGCTGTCAACTATGCACACAAGAGGAGAAAAAATAGTACTTGTCTTGTCACGTCGGAAAGAATTTTACTCCAAAATTATTTAAATATATGTAAGATTATATGTTCTGATTGCACTATACATCTACCTATCTATTATATATAAAGAGAATAGAAAAGGTAAATAGTGATTTGATGTCACCATAATATTTGGATAAAAATGCCACTGAAATAAAAAAATTCAAAAGCATTCCAAAATAATAAATCAAATAAGGTAGGACATTTTCGTCATTTTAACAGTATTTCTTTAATAATTTACTTTTTGGTGTTTTTTTTTATTAGTACCTAACAATAAGTTACCAATAATGTGATTCAATTTCTTTATTTTTAAACACATTCAATACATTTTAAGAGACGTGTAATGCCGGTTATAAAAAAAGTTTTTTGCACACAGATAACAATGTGATTAAATAAGCTATCAAATGATTATTTTTTTAACCAACGATATTATCTACACTAAGAGAGAGGTGTCACATCCAGTCTCGACTTTGCCGTAGCATGATATTGTCCGCTTTGGATCCCGGCCACGCGCTCATGGTTTTGTTTCTGGAAACTCAAACGAGAACTTTCCAGTGGGTCACCAATCTTAGGATTGCTCTCGTCCAAACTCGCTTAACTTTGGAGATTCGATGGAACCCGAAGCCAATGAGTTCCTAAAAGACCTCGTGCTATAGGAGGTGAGCATGTACATATAAGGCACATCACTCCCTCTCCGTTGGTTGATGTGAGATGTTACAATCCACTCCATTAGGGGCTCGACGTCCTCGTCGGCACACTCGCACCAAACGGCAGAGTAGCTCTGATACTATTCTGTCACATCCCGGTCTCGACTCCGCCATAGCATAATATTGTCCGCTTTGGGTCCCGACCACACTTTCACGGTTTTGTTTATGTGAACTCAGACAAGAACTTCCTAGTAGATCACCCATCCTAAGATTGTTCTCGCTCGAACTCGCTTAACTTCAGAGTTCCGATGGAACCCAAAGTCAGTGAGTTCCCAAAAGGCCTCATGCTATAGGAGTTGTCAATTTATGCATATAAATACATTTAAAATATATAAGTCGCGAGTAGCATGCCGTGATTCAAAAAATATCTTTTGCACCCACGTGAGCGCCTGCATGAAGGCTAGTAATATATAAAGCGAGCAGTGCGATGAACAATGGCTTTAGGGTCACGCATGCAACAAAATTTTTGGTATCACTCACTTTGACAAAAATAATTGGACCAAACTGCCCCTCCGCCAACAAAAAATTCAAAACCTACCCAAAATAATATATCAAATCATGCAAGGGGTAAGTTGGTAATTTAGTCATCATAAAATATAATATAAATATAAATGGATAGAGAGAGAAAAGAATAAAAAAATGAAAGGGAAGAGAGAGAAGAATAAACAAATGATAAAGTTGATAGTGCTCACGTGATGGGGAATAAAAATATAATAAAAAATTAAGAAAAATCATGTTCAAAACATCTTAATAGATGCGTAACACCGGTGATAAAAAAAGAAAATAACGAAATAAAAAAATATTGAAGCAATTCATGCATATAAATATATTTAAAATGTCTAAATCGCGCTTAGCGCGCTGTGATTTAAAAAATACCTTTTGCACGTGGTTGTTTATTAAATATTATTTCTCAAATTTTAAACACTTAAGAGGTGCGTAGTGACAGTTATAAAAAAAAAGTCTCTCGCACGTGCATAATAATGTGATTCAATTAGTTGTCAAATGATTTGTTTTAACAAACGATGTTATCTATACTAAGGGAAGGAAGTGTGTTTAGCCTCACAATGAGCTAGCAATCAGTTGTTTATTAAATATTTTTTTTAATCTTAATGTAAATTCAATAAAATGTAGATGAAAATTGAAAGATCGCTTTTATTAATATGGATTCAGTTGCTTTGATTAGTTAAAAAACCACTTTTATTAAATGTATTTATTATTTATTTCCATCTACATTAATAAATACATTTAAAACATGTAAATCAAGTGTAACACGTCGTGATTCAAAAAATATCTTCTGCACGCGTGTGAGCGAGTGCATGGAGGCTAGTTTATCTTTAAGAAAATATTTTATAATATAAATGTAAATTGCACTCGTATATGAGATAACTTGTTTCTAACTGATTTTTGGTCTAGTCGTAGCTTTTCTATTCAGTTAGCGGATCTCTTAGGTTCAATTACAAGATGCAAAGACAATAAATATTTGTGATCAATTTGATACCTTGGTGCGACTATTCATGTTATGGTAGTTTATCTTTATTGGCAGACATAATTATCTATTTTTCGTACTACTAAGTAGGTTGGACTATTGAACAAAAATTTTTATAGACAAACGCAATAGCAAATGACAAAAATCAACTAATAAAATCTTCCCTTGATTTCAAGATATTGGCATCACAAAATCAAATACAAACTAGTTTCAAAATATTCTAAGTTAGTAAAATATGGAATAAGTATAGTAAGTATTTATTTAATTAAAAAAGTACTTTGAAAAAATTGACCCTTTTTGAAAATTTAATATATTTAATTTTGTATTTATTTATATTTTTCTAAAATACTTAAAAATATGTATAAAAATGCAAATTATATATATATTATTGAAAATGAATGAAAAGACAAGTGAGAGGTCTTACGCTCGATTCTCACCAAGAGTGAATTTGAATCATATTATTGCTAACTCATTGTGAGGCTAAGTCCATTATTTTAATGTAGATAATATCGTTTTTTTTTTAAAAAGAAAAAAAAAGACAAGGGTGCAAAATTGAATGCATGAGTTTGTTAACAGGTCAAGTGTGTGTAACTTGCCTTCAAGAAACGGAAAACTGAGGTTGTTATCGAGCAAGTAAAAATCTCCATTAAAAAAATACAAATTCAATTAGGAAAACCAATAAAATAATTAGATTTTAATAAACCTAATTAGTTAATAAAAACAGAACCACCTAAGCATGCACACCGTCATCACCGTATTTTTCACGTCATAACTGGATTTTAAAATAATAACCGAAGGAAAACTGGAAACAAAAACAACAAAAATAAATAAATAAAAAATAAAAATTCCTTTTTGAAAACTTAAATTATAAACGGTCAGAATTAGGAATTCAGAGCCATAAAACCGTATATAAAATAAATATTCCTTCTATCCTGGATATAAAGAAGAACACCCAGAATTTCAATTCTCTCTCTCTCTCTGTCAATTATATTGAAAACCCAATCTCTCTCTCTCTGATCTCTATCTGGGAGGACCCTCTTGATCTCGCTTTGCTTTGATCGGTTTTCGTTTCGGCGAGGTTTATTTTCTACGCCGATGTCTCTGAAATTCTCAAACTTTTTCACGATTTTATCTTTTCTTGCTGAAAATTTTGAAGCTTTTATGGCCGTTAGCGTTTAATTTAACCTCTAGGATTTTTCGCTCTTTCCGATTACAATTTGGATGATTTCGTTTGTTTAATCTTGTTATTGAATTGGGTTTTTTTTTTCCTTTGCAGGAACTTTTTGAAGAAATTCGGTGGTTCTTCGAATATAATCCCTTTGTTTATGATAATAAGGTACGTAATCTTGTACTTGTGTTAAATTTATTTCTTGGAGTTTGTGGAATTTATTTGTTTTTTATTAAAATAAATTTGGGTTCTTCTGATTTTCTTAGGAAAGTCAAAGAAACCATTAAAAACTTAAAATTTAGATATATGTTACATATAATTGCCCCCCTTTAAACTGGATGAGCAAAAATAGTGGGTAACTTATAAATTATAAATATTTATAGAACACGAATTTATGGAACCAACACCAAGTTTGTTGAAGTTATCATCTGCATGTTACTTTTTTTTAATGTTAATGTTAGATTGTATGGTGGTACTGTATTTTCTGTTGCTTGATTTTCTTTCTTCACGAGGTTTGTCAATATACGACTCATTCTTATTATTTTCGTAGCTCATAGAATCTCATAATTATGATTATTCGCACGTAGCTGCCGACTATATTGATTTGGAGTGTATTGTTTACTCACATGAACCTTATCTCAAGTGGCATGGGAAGGGTGAGGTGAGTATAAAGATCCTAGGTTAGAGTTGAGAAAGAACGGATGGTTTGTGACGATGAGATCAATGCTACACTTAACATGTATGATGGAGTGGGATTCTTTTGAAGATGGGTTAATCCATAATGGGGAAGTTTTTTACTTGGTCTGACAGTGGTTACATATGGAGTTTGTTTCGACAAAGTCATGGATAAGACTTCTTTGTATGGCTTACCGGATATGATGTGGAGGCAATATTGTTGGTATAAATTTGGAAGAGTGAACTTTTCTCCTAAAAAGCCTTGACTGTTGGAAGTAAATTCTTCAAGGTGGAGCTTCTGGTGTCATATTTATTACTGAAATATATTCAACTATACATTTTCTTAAAAAGAGTTTATAACCGTGAAACCTGTGCTTTCCCCTTTGTTTGGTGTTGGGTGTGCTTTGTATCTTTTAAGGTTACAAACTTGTGGTAGAGAGTAGTAGAATGAGAAGTAGTGAGTATTGGTTTTGTGAAGTATGCTTATCTGTCATCATGTTTCATTTGGGATTCATGATTGTCTTTACCTTTTAAAAGAGTGAAAGATACAGGATAATTGGATTTTCCTTTGTGTGTCGGAAGAAACCTAAACAGTTCACATTATCTCGTAGGGTGGATGAAAAGAGCTATTTTTTTAAAGATATTTCTTCCTGGCTGAGGGTTTTCTTTATGCTTTCCTTCCACCCCTGAAGTATTTGTGGTCAATGTGATCATGTCATTGGCTGCATGAACTAATCTTTTGCCTGACTTTCTATGTTGAATTGTGCATTTGGAGTACAAATTTTTGGGAGGTTGATTTAGATTTAGTACGGAACCATTCATTGGTTTTTTTTTTTTTGATTAACAGTGACCTTGATTGTTCTTAGTTACAAGACTTGAACTTCCTACTCTAGAAGACTATATGACCATATTTCTATTTTTCAAATATATGTATATAAAACTAAATCATTTGTAAAGGATAGCAAAGAAATTAAGAGCTAAAGTTCGAAGGTCGGAGGGTATAACATGTAGACCTGTTCACCTGCTCCATGGGGAGTGATGAATTATACGGCCAACCAACTTTCCAGCTAGATGGACACTGGATCATCTATAAAACTAAAATAATAGTAATGGTTAAATGATTATGTGTTTGGATTATTTTTGGCAGGGATGATCCTTAAATGGACACACAAAAAAATGTACGGTTTGGATAATTGAATTACAATTTGAAGTGGACCTAAAAAATTGGTTAACCCTGGAACTCCTTGCTCCCCATGGAGCGGGTAGACTATATATATCAAAATTTTTGTTATTGACTTGTTCCATGTTCTATAATCTCCTAACTTTTCATCTGACTGATTTTTGTAGATACTTTGGCTGGGAAGGGATTATTTGTGACTTCAATGGGGCAAAGAAATATGCTATGCCCTAGTCAGATGATTGATTTGGAAATGAGTCAACAAGGGGAAGATTATCTCTGCCCCCCACCCTCCGTCCATTTTGGGGGCGCTTCTACTATCCAACAGCACAATGTTCACACAATGGTAACAGCTTCAGGGAGCATTACTAGTTTGGATGCCCAACATTTACCGGAGCGTTATGATAATGCCGCATTCTACAGGATGACCCAGTACAGTGTTCAGCATCATCAACATAATGTTGATTTGGGTGTTGCAACTCCAGCCAACTATTACTATTCATACATGACCCCTTCATCTAGTACTGGGGTGTTACCTGTTCCTCCAAGTCACGGGGCTTCTGATCCTTCACCATCTTCTAGCCATTATGGAGTCCTTGGAATTTCTGCAGATGAGTATAATAGAAATAGTCACATAATGGATGATCCTAGAGGTCCGTACAAGAGAAAAAACCCTGAAGGCCTACCAGGGAATTTTCAATATTTTAATGCCTCTGCAACCCCTAGTTCTTCAGTGCCTCCTTTGAATATGAGGAATCCTGATGGAGTTGCTGTAATGGATGCTGTAAATTATGCCTTGCCTCAGTATGCAGGAACTGGGAATCCACCAATTATGGAAGCAGGACCTCAGAGTAGTATGAGGAACAGATCAGCTACAACTGGGCTTGATTCTGTTATGACACATGACCATAACCATCTGAATCAAGCAAATTATGCAGGTCAGCGCTTTCAGCCAGCTGGAACTCTCTGGTTAGACCAACATTTAAGTGGTAACAGTGGAGATGGAAGCTCTTCATCCTGGAATCAAGTTCCTACTATTCCTTTTATGCACGGTCAGTACTTGTTTGTATTTTCTTCTCTTATAATTGGATTCCTATTTGTATCTCTACGTAGGTCATTTAATGTCAGAAAGGTGTTTCAGTTGCTCTTGCAATTTGCTCCTATGCATTAAAAGCAGAAGCTTATATTCTTTGTAGGAAATTTTCAAAATTTTGTTTCCGTATTTATTTATTTATTTTCTGGAAAGAACATAGTTTCACAATTTTGAACATTAAATCTGATCAGTTTCCATCCGAGTACTTGCTCTCGGTATTATGCCTATTTTCTGTGGAAACTGTTTCTGTTACAACATATGATCAAATAAAGGAAACACATGTATGTGTCTTGATTTAATGATCGGTTTTTATGTATTAATTGGAGCTCGTTCTCTCTGTGGCTCATTCTCTCAGGGGGTAATGTCACAGTAGGTTCTATGGACAGCGGGAACATGGGTATGCAAAGATATCATGATTCATCTAGCAACAGAAGTTCCTCTATTCTCCGGCATCCTCCTCCGCTCAACCACCGCCATCATAATCAACACGTAGCACCACCCATGCAAGGATTAAGAGGCCACAACCTTAATTTTAACCCCCAGGGTGCCACAGCAGCTTCATATAGATTACCTGCAAGTTCCTCGCGCAGCACCATGAATCCTTCTCAGAATGGTTTGGAGATTGGTCGTAGGCAACCAGGATCTATTCCCTCGAATGGCTTTAGGATATACAGGCCACACCAAGGAGTTATTCCCGAGGCAGCTTTAAGACACCAGAACCTTCCCCACTTCAGAGTTCTTCAGGCTGATGTAATCTTTCTCTCTCTCGCTCGCTTTCTCTCTCTCTCTCTCTCTCTCTCTCTCTCTCTCTCTATATATATATATATATATATATATATTGTTTGCTGTTATTTGGAAGTATATGGTGTAAGTATTTAGTATTTACCAGCTACGTTTCAGATTATATTTGGCTTAACCTTTTTGGTGCTTTTTTATAGGAAGGTGTCATAGTAGATGTTCCAAACTTTTATGGCAGCTTTATGGACCAGCACAGAGATATGCGGTTGGACATAGAGGACATGTCATATGAGGTAAATTGAAGTAGTTCCATTGTTACCTACTTGTTCGTATGGATACATCAAGGTATAACTGAATCATGCAGATAAGCAAAAGATAAAAAGAGTTCCTTAGTTGTACCGATGGATTCTCAGATATATTTATGTTCCTACCACTGTTATTCTGTTATTCCAATAGTTATGCTGCTTCAGCAAAGTTTTAACCTGAAAACTCCACTTTCAATTGCAGGAGCTTCTTGCATTGGGGGAGCAGATTGGCCATGTAAGCACTGGGTTGTCAGAGGATACCATTAGAAAACAACTAAAGTCAAGGTCTTATTTATCATCTTCCATTAATTTAAACCTCGAAGATGCTGGATCCCCAGAGAAGGAAGCCGATTCCTGCATTATATGCCAGGTACCATAAAACTCGTTCCAATTACAACATATTTTCTTATCTCGACAGTATTCACCGTTTAAGATTTGACCTTGCTGATCTATTCACCGTCGTTGCATTTGCAATTTTACAGGATAATTATAAGAACCGCGAGAAGATAGGAATTCTCCGCTGCGGACACGAGTACCATGCAAGTTGCTTGAAGAAGTGGTTGCTTGTGAAAAATGTCTGCCCCATCTGCAAATCCGAAGCGTTGAACACAGGGAAGAAGAATGTATAGGAGGTGTGACAGTTGAATGACAAAGGACTCTTTGCTCTTTCAACTAACGTTATTTTGTTATATATTTTTGTATATGCAGCGGCATATAAAATATATATATCGACCAACTGTTACCATCCAGCTCGTTTATTTGTTGGCTTTCCAAAACATTGGTCATGTATCTATCAAACTTGTACAGACTTTCTTTTCAAAACCATTATTTTATTTTATAATTCTGCGTCCTGCTGTATTACTCTCGGTAATTAAGCAACCTTCTTGTTCATTGGTGTCAACTATTTGTTTATTTTTTCAATAATTCATCTTTGTCGACGAAAATGATCGACGCTGAATTATGATTATGTTTGGAATGACAATTTAATGCCTGACAATTTAATCCTTCTCTCTACAAAGATGAAATCTTAAACATTCAAACTGGAAAGGAGGAAAACGAGAGGGGAGAGTCCTTGTCAACTTTAGAGAGATGGAGGAGGCCGGTGTCAGGCTGGTCGACGACTCCAACACAGACTGACACCGACACCGACGTGATGGCAAGGGTAGAATTGGCTTTTACTCACTTGAAAAATCTTTTTGGGTGAACTTAGATGTGTGTTGTGGTGTAAAACTTCGGAATCCATTAATCCGCCTCGTGTCATGGTGTAAAACCTTCTCGATTGGCAATTTACTTGAATGGGAGATTATTTTGCTGTGATGCTTACCACCTTTTTTTAGATGAGTTTAAATTTCAAGTTTTGTGTAGTAGATAGACAAAAATTTCAAAATTTAAACTCATTCAAGAATAACAAATAGGGTAGTGAGCATTACTACCGTTGACGGTTGCGAGAAAACTGCACCCTTAATTGAGCCATAAAAGGAACGCTAAATTCTTCATACATTTAACTAAGCATCCATCCGATACAAAAAAAATTATCCAGATACTGTACCTAAACTAGAACAAACAAAAGTACCAACAAAAGATGAAGCACGAGATTTTGCGAGAGGGCCGTAGGTAAATTAATCAAAAAATTGACATAAGACGGAAGCTGTGACATTTCTTTTGACTCCAAAACTATAAGCCAACCCTAAAAAACTCAGGCAATACCATACAGTAAAAAGTTCATGACAAACTCCATGAGTTGACAGGTACAAATCCTGAAACTTTAGGGGCAGCAAAATGAGAAGACGACACCCTTAAGCTTGACCTATCGCCCTCACGATTAGGCAGAACAGCAACCAGCTTTCTTAACAGCAGAAACGTCATCCTTGTTTCCGACATTTATGGTCTGTCCCTTGGGCAATGCTGCAGGATCATCTCCTACCTCTAGTGCTTTCCGGCTGACTACATGGTATATTTGTGTTAGGACTTCAGTGAACGCATTTTCAACGTTCATAGACTCGAGTGCTGATGTTTCCATAAAGAAGGTGTTTTCCCTCTCAGCGAAGGCCTTGGCATCCTCAACAGAGACAGCACGAAGGTGACGCAGATCAGCCTTGTTGCCCACTAGCATTATCACGATATTGGAGTCTGTGTGATCCCGTAGCTCCTTCAACCATCTTTCAACATTCTCAAATGTCACATGCCGGGTGGCGTCATAGACAAGCAAAGCACCAACAGCTCCTCGGTAGTATGCACTTGTAATTGCACGGTACCTTCACCAAAAGAAATAATTACTCAAAACTTAAACATTCAGGCAATCATCACTCATAAATCACAACCAAGACCAACATCAAATAAACAAAATTTTAACTGCCCTGCAACCTAACTATATTTCAAATACTTCTAATCTGCTACCGAAAAAGTCCTGCAGCACAAACTAAAGACCATATCCGCTTCGCGTAAGGAAAGCAATGAATATTCAGTACCGATACCATTTCCAAAACCACACTATTCCGAACATAGAGCCACATTGGAATCCCTTGTTGAATTTACATCTGACGGCACAGGAGACATTTTACACCTACCAATAACCTACTTATAATGTCCAGCAGTCCTTCTGCAATGAACCAAGCAGAACTAAACATGTTCAAAGTCAGCAGTGATCTCACAGCAATATCAGATTCTGTTCAGCATTGCAACAATAACGCGAAAACAAAAACAAAAACCCAATTCATCGACAGATCTCGACTCGTATGGCGAACGAAAAACTCTAAACATTCCCTTCAGTTTTCCCACATTTTCTCAGCACCCAATTACCCGTTTTCCCACATTTTCCCGCATTTTCTCAGCACTCAATCACCCAGTTACCCAAATCCCATAACAAGAACAACAAAACATACAAACGGATTGAAATGATCGAATTTTGAATTCGGCGAAAATGTTAAAAACCTTTCTTGGCCAGCGGTGTCCCAAATCTGGGCCTTGACGATCTTCTCATCAACGTGGATACTCCGAGTGGCGAACTCGACGCCGATCGTCGACTTCGACTCGAGGCTGAACTCGTTGCGCGTGAATCTCGACAAAAGGTTCGATTTTCCGACGCCGGAGTCGCCAATCAGCACCACCTTGAACAGATAGTCGTAGTCATCGTCAGTCCTGTATGCCATGGCTGCCCTCCTCCCTCACAAATTGAAAATTGACTCGGTGGTTGGGTTGGGTTGGTTCTGGTTTTCCGGGTCGAATCCGAATTGGGTCGCCGATTTATTCAATTGGAAGAGCGACTCGGACTCGGAGACATGGAACCAAGGGAGGAGGGATTGAGTGAAAACTGAAAAGGGAAGGACATCAACTTTATGAGTTTTCTGCTGGTGCTGGTGGTCATAAAATGGGAGGCAGATCGTCTGCCTCTTCTTACGATCTCCTTTCCCTCTCCTCCTATTTATGCGATGACGATTAACCCATGTCAATATATCTTATTATTTTTATAAAAAAATTAATATAAAATATTAACGTGACTTAACCGTAACCGCACAACGTAAGAAGGGATGAGAGGGACATGATAATGGAAGGGCATACAATCTGCCTCCTATAAAATGATGGGCTAAACTGCCATTCAACCAAGAATTATATTTTTCTTTTGAATAATGATAGAAAAATTAAAATTTTAAATCAAATTTACAAATCAAATAATGTGCGATTGATAAAAAATAAATACCTTAATTAGCCTTTTATTAATAACTCAATCATCGATAACTACATCATTTGATTTAAAATATTTGATCCCTTAAAATTACCCATTTCTTTCATATGGCCTGTAGCTGTGGAAAGCAAACCTGCATATGCATCCATAGATTTCTCTTTCTAACATTTAACAATTTAACAATTTAACCCACTATTAATGTTTGTAAAAAAAAAAAAAAAAAAAAAAAAAAGATCTTAACTTTTCGAAATTGGCCTGTTGACCCCCAGTATCTGATTCCATCCATGCTTCTTTTAAAATTTAAGACAAATTAGCCTTTTCATCATTCTTTCAACATATCAGCAACACCCATTAAAAGAAAAAAAAAAAAAACTCACCCCAAAATCACCAAATTTTGGGTTGATCTTCCGTTGAAATGTTTTCAGTGTTGGTCGAAGTTCTTACGGTGGTTGTTGACTTGCGTGCTTCCTTAAGGTGGTTAATTAACGTCGAAAATGGTTTGGCATGAGAGCTTAAAGTGCGGGAGCTAAAGGTCCACAAGTTTATCAAATGAGACAATGCTTTGGTGTTGACTAGGCTTAAGTTTAGCATGAAGGTTTTTAAGAGATTTTAACGACGGATGAGTTTGGCCATGGTGGTTGAGTTTTATGGGGTCTTCCCCACGCCCCCCTTTTTTTTTTCTTTTTTTTTTTTTGCATCTAGTGTCTCCGGGTCTTTGACCCGACTACTCACTAGGCCACCCGCCTGACCCCACAACATTTGGTAGGCAAGAAACTCTAGCCATTGCTAGGTGGGTACCTTGAGAGGTGTCGAACCCCAGACCTCTTGGTAACAAACCAAGGGCCTGACCATTAGACTAAACCCTCTTAGGTTCCCCACGCCCCCTTATTGATGTAATATTAGCTTGTTTTTATAGAGGGTGAAGGCTCTCTCTTATATTTTTACAATACAAAAACACAAAAGTTTGACCTCTCCCACCTCTAATTTTTCTTATTTTTTTCTTTAATATCTGGTGGTAAAAGGGTGTGCCGGAAACTACTGATTTCAAACGGGTAAAGAGGTAGATTGGAACTTTTCTATGGATAATGGGAGGTGCGAAAATAACTTATTTCCAATGGTTAAAGGGGTGAAAGAGAATCTTTTTAGTAACCTATGGATAAAAGGGTGAGATGAGTTGCAACATGAATACGTTCACGGGAAACATGTCTTGGTGCAGGAAAGGAGACGATATATGTCTTGGGTGGATAGGTTGTTGTAGAGTTGTAGAGTTAGGTTATTGTCATGGATAGTGCACTACTAAAATAAAGTATCGGAAGTTATCTCATTTCATTACCCTGCGTGGGATCACTCTAGTAATGGGCTTGGACGGTGGTGCTCGTAAGTACACTAAAGTCTCCATTGTCGAAGAGTTTTCATGGATCTTGTGGATCTCCGTAACTTTCCACACGTCAACCGTTCTAGCAAGCCCGTGAAACCACATGTCTTGGGTCATGTGAGCTTGATATGTGTTAGACTTAAACGAATGTGTTCGTCATGCCGTGATATATTTTCTTGTTTGGTATGACATGATAACTAATTAAATCTTGTGTAAAACCTCGTCTAACTATTAATTTTTTCGATAATTGGTATAATATAATTGAGATTTGCATGAGGCATTAAGACCGTACAAAGCAATGCACGTTTAACGTGCTTGGACCTTCCCGTGCAATTTTTGAGCCCTAACAGCATTTACATTAATGGTATTTTTGGTATTACGTTTTTCTAATTTACAAGAATAAAAGTTAAACAAAACGTATTGAAAAAAAAAAGGTTTGGTTTTATATTGTAGAGATTTTTAGAACGATAATAACAACTCTTCACGTAGAAATGAGATCATAATTTTCTCAAAAGAAAGAAATGAGATCATAATTTTCACAACGTTTCCTTGCTTTGCATGAAATAAATATTTGAAAATCCATTTTTGACTTCCAGCCATGTACTAAAACAACGTGGATTTTGAAATCATTCCAATTTTCAAGTCCTGACTTCCAATTTTCAGGCCCAACTAGGAGATTCAATGCACTTTTCGATTTCAATAATATAAATAAACTAGGAGATTCAATGCACTTTTCGATTTCAATAATATAAATAATTACAATAACGACAAAACATTTTCCCACCAAATGAAATCGACTGTATAAATCCTAAAATGTCATTATGTTTGATTTTGTGCCACGTCTTCTATTAAATCCAAATACTCATTAAGTTTTTTCTTAATCTATTCTAAAGTTTTCCTAGATCTTCCTCTACCCCTTTCAACCTTGAACCTCTGTCTCGTGATCTCATCTTCCTAGTCCTACAGATGATATACATTGATTTTGATTGCTTGAGATGTAAGGAAACAAAAGAGTTAAAAATATGATCATGCTTTGTCTCCACAAACTCATCTACTTCTCTGTTCAAAGTTTGATTGTATTCTAACTGAATTTTGAATGTTGGTCTGCAAAAACATGAGCAAATCCCTCTCATTTTCTCTTGCTAAACAGGCATAAGCATCCACAAAGTACGAAAACTCTGACCCGTACATATGCACCGCGCACGCTGCCTTGTAAGTTAAGAGCTGCAAATCACCCGTTGCAATCTCTGAGGTTAGCGTCTGGTTGCTGAAATGACGTGTACGCCACCATCTGCAGCGAAATCTCCAACCCTCTCCAGATTTTCCCTCTATAAACATTTTGGGGGTCCTATTGAAACAAACGGAGTAGTGTTCTTTATGTTCACCTTCATTTCCATTCAGACACACGGACATTCGGTCCTCGTCATACTGAGAAAGCTTCAGGAAACATAAAGCAAACTCTCTCCAGGTGTTGTAGTCTGCATAGGTTGCATCAAGATGCAATGCTATCATTTCCAGTAGACTCTCGGGACTATATTCATCTGCAAAATGTCATAAGAAAGCAATAAGAAACCGCTAATAATTTATAAAAATCAAAATTTCAGTTCAAATTCTTGTTATCAAGGACTTCCAAATGTTAGCTGCTTCTACAACCATGCAATTTTTGAAAATATAAAGATTTGAAACAATAGTTTCTCTTAAATTATAAAAAGTTCATACAAATTATTTTGTTCGCGAGTGTCAAAATAAAGTTAATCAGTGTCTTTTCAAAAGAATGAGATAAACTACATAAACAAGAAGAGGTGTATTAATTCCTAAAAATATATAGCCCAAAAAGACCAAAGACAGACACACAAAAGGATTTCCAGGATTCAAAGTGACAAGTGGGATTAGACAGGTTCAAATGGATTTTAACAATTGGAACAGCAACAAAAAAAATTATCTGTTCTACAAAAACCTTTTACTAGTAAAACGATAAGTTCTAGCTAAGGAGATGTAGTCATGTCAATCCTCAAAGTAACTTCAAAAATTTCTAAACCCCCGATAAGGGGTTTTGCATCTTGAGAGATTTTATTCTTTAGGTTTATTTCTTTAAGAGAATTGTCTGACTTAAGAGAACTGAAGAATTCTCGATATGCTCCGTTAACTTAGCTAGAGAGAAATTAGAACCCATGAATTTATAGATCGCTCCTCATATGATATATCTTTTCTAATTACATGAATGTGAAATATATATAGTAATTACATGATCAGCATGTAATGTTAGTGTTATGTCTGTTTGCAAGAATAATGGGCATATATGAACAAGCTGAGAAAAATCACGTACCATTTTGATGCAGTTGAACAAGTTTTGCCAATGAATCGTAACAGGTTGGATCGTTCTTTAAGACATCCTCAAAACAGGTAGAAAGAAGGGCGCTGTTGTAACGATCAAATTGCTCCAAAAGTGTAGCCCTTAATCTGCCCAACGTGTACGCATTAAATCTTTACTGTCGTGTGATTGGTGACAAGACCATAGAGCAATAACTAGCATGAGAAATAAATCCATATCTCACAAACAGAACTAAAGCAACAAAAAGTTAAGCCAATATTAAGAAATGAGGTAGTATTTGAATTATTGGAATGAACCTTGGAATAGAATGTGCATCCATATTCCATAAGAATACTCCAGGTTTGGTTGACCAAAACCAAAACCACAAATGAGCATTGCTATACAATGTCACTCCATCATAAGGATGGTTGATAGCGATGTCTTTCTTGTAATCATGATTCCATCCATTCAAAGTTCAGTTCAACAACCATACACTACCCTACGTCATTAGTTATTGACAAAAAGAGATCCAACTTCACCTATGATGGTCCAATATAGGAACTTTCACATGCAGAACTATCAAAATGTTGAATGGTAAAAATTGCAACAAAAAAAAAAAAAAAAAAATGTCCAGAAAGTTCAGACTCTAATACATGGTCATTTGTTTTACAACTGTTGTCCGCAGACAGCATATTTTGTTTCAACTAATCTAACCAAAATTCAAGATAAGTTATAATGCTCAAGAACAAGATTACTTAAACGATAACATGTTAATAAAGTGTCTCATAGCAGAAAAAAACAAGCATCGCCTGAAAAGCCATCATTTTAACAACACAACTGTTAGTAATTGTCAGACTTTTGAAGAAGGAATTCCTAGGATCTAGTTTCTACCAAAGCTGCTGTAGTGAAGCCAATGTTGACCTTTTAGCGCTGTTCAGAAAAACAGATCTACCCGACTTGTCTCACCAGACTAACTCTGAACCAGCTTGCCGCCAGTTTCTTAACTTAGAAAACCATTACCCAACTA